CTTTCCCTAACTCTATTTTTTCAGTTTCTGCAAGAAAAATCTGACATAAAATATGGGACACCCACATTCAAAAACTACCTTACTCATCTCTCGGTAAGGCAACTCTTTTGCTATCTCCTCTTCTAATATATATATATATATATTTGTAATGAATGCAATTCAACAAATTTCGTAAGCAGCGTTTTATTACCAATACAACTATCCCTATACTCCCTCAAAAAAATGGGAAAGCTTAACACAAACACAAACACTTAATTAAGAATGCATGCACATTGATGCTTATTGCACGTCTTCACCTCAAAATTTGTGTTGATGCTCCTCTTACTGAAATCTATCTTATTAAAAGAATGCATCTCGAACAACCCACAATAAATTACCCTATGAACTTATATACAAAACTCCCACATACACTTATCTCAGAACATTTGATTATTATTGTTTTCTTTAACAAAAACTTCTCATCAAACAAAAACTTCTCATCACAATTACTCTCTCCTTCGGCTCCTCACTCTATCTTCATAGAATGTTGTCTCATAAAGATTGGCAGTGATAACCATCAAAATCATCAAATCATCATCCCTATGCATGGCACGTTCAATGAACAATCCTTTTTCACTGTCCACCAACTTTCACCAATCTCATCAGTCAAAAACATTACTTCATTTCTATTGACACCCAGCTCAGATCAAAATATCATCCAAAACCTTAAATTAAACTTTTATCAACATATACTTTAGCATTAAACAATTATTTAATCTTTTCTCCTCCCAGTTCTGACTCCAATTCACATCCTTAACCTGCAATCTCACATCCTGATTTACCTCCACAAAGTTCACATAAAAATCTCAAACCACCGCCAACCATTCATCCCATGATAACTAAAACCTAAATAATGCATTGACCTTCACAGTATCACATCTCCACAGCTGATGCAACATGCTATTCACCAGCGACAAATTTGCCATTAGAGATGGGCCATGCCATAGGAATTCAAAGTTTTTCAATGGTAGGAAACATGGACTCTCACACCTCTACCCCAAAATCAAAATCTTATTAGATGTAGATGGACATACAAAACTAAATTCAACAAAAATGGGATTATTTCGAAATACAAGACTAGGCTTATGGCACAGGGGTTTAAAAAACAAAAAGGATTTGATTGCTGCAAAACTTTTAGCCTTGAGAAAGTGATCACTACCGTATGTATACTTCTCACACTTACTTTCCATCACAAATGGGTAGTTGAAAGCTAGATCACTACCGTATGTATACTTCTCACACTTACTTTCCATCACAGATGGGTAGTTGAAAGCTAGATATTTCTAATGATTCCCTTCATGAAACACTAGAAGAAACTTTTTATATGAAGTCACACTAGACTTCCACGACACCCAATTTCTACATCATATGTGCCGCCTAGATAAGACTTTCTATCGCTTTAAACAGGCTCCACGACAATGGTATATTGCACTATATTATCATCTTAAGAGCAAAAACTTCAACCATAGTATAATCGATCTCTCATTACACTTTTACCGTCATAATGGATATCATGTTTATTTTCTGGTTTATGTGGATGACATTTTGATGACAGGCAATGTCTCCTCCATCATCTCAGCTATTCGATATGATCTTTGAATTTTCTTTCAATTTAAAGAACTTGGTGTTGTCAACACCTTCTTAGGTGTCCATATTCAACACAACTAACAGAATTTTTACTTAACTCGAGCAGCCTACATATACTCACATCTTCATCAATAGGGGATGTCTAATTGCAAATCAATCACCACTTCACAACCTCTCAAATTGATACCTAATTCTCTGTCTCAATAAGACTAACAATCCAACACAATATTATCATTTAATTAGATCTTTGCAATTCATTACATTTACTAGACTGAACATAGCTTTTGATATCAATTACATATTTCAACACATACACCAACCTAAT